CCGTAGGCTGCAGGAATACCAGTTTCACCAACTCGAGGGCACATTCCCGAGCCAGATTGAGAGCACCCTGGCCCATCTGGCTACTGAGGTCATGCAGGCAGTGTAGAAGGCCCCTCAGAAGGCCGCGAATATGCTGATTGAACCACTGGATTGGTAGGCGCTTGCAGAGGTGGAGAAGGATGCAACAGGCGCCCCATTTCACATACCTGAAAGGCGGGAGGTGATAGAATCAAATTTGTGCAAAAACTGGAAGGTACTGACAAATGCTTTTAATGGGGATTGCGGTGGAGGGAAAACCAGCAGTTGGGGGCTGCGAAACATGATTTCCCTCACAACCGATGGTTATAGAACGAGAAATAAAAATAGTGACCTTAACAATAGGAACGGAAATACGCATAACGAGCTGGTGTAAATAAAATGTCCATGCGAATAAGAGAATGGTTATAGCTATCGATTGGACGGCGAAAGTTCCACCACAATCAAGTACAAAGGGCGATAGAGAGAGAGGAAAGGGAGAACAAAAAGACAGTTTGTCAAGTCACTGAAACTACATGTTTATTGATTTGACCTCCCAAGTTCGTTCAAGAAACCGTCGATGAAAATGACAGCAGTAACAAAGTGCTATTTACTAGTATGTTTTCGAAACGCTGAAGAATCGTGTGAATTGATAACAGAATTATCGACAAATCCTCGAAGCACCCAGCCGAAATTTACGGTCGTTCATAGGTCCTGCTTCAAACGATTGGGTAATCCCGGACATCAATGAAACTGATGCCGATGGTAATTCTTGTCTATGTAACAGCAGAAGATATTTAATGCATTGCATCTTTTTTTCGACCGTTCGTCGCGATGGTGTCCTGATAGATAAGGTATCTTTCGATCGAGAATATTGACTACAGCCACATAAAGGCGTGCTCCCTCAAATGTGCGCATGCAATGGTCAAGGTTTACAGGCGTAACATAAGACACTGCCCACCAGCACGGCGCTGGTCTTCATTAGTTTAATCCGCAGTGGAAAATCGGTTAAGAAGTTCAATCCGTTCCGGCACCGAGCTCTGCATGTGAAGCGCTTGTCTTGCGAAACATGGCCAATCAAACTGTATTGGTTCACTGGTTGGCTGCAGGCGACCGAGGACCCACGTCCTGGGAGCAAGACCCAACGGCGGAGAAAGGCACACACACGCACCGACAACTCGTTAACAGAGCGAAGTCGTCAGTCGAATCTAATTTTTTGCTACTGGCTCGCTCGTTTCCTCGGGC